TCAAGTAAAATACTTGAAAGCTTTTAAAACCTTTTTGCTACACAAGGAAAGCAGAGACTTCTAAGACAAAGAGATGGCAAACACAGTCAGAGAATCAGAGAAAGGTTTGGGTTCAAAGGGACCTAAGAGCTCATCTCGTTCCAAACCCCTGCCATGGGCAGAGACACTTTCCACCAGCCCACATTGCTCCAAGCCTTGAACACTCCCAGGGATGGGACATCATCCACAGCTTCTCTGGAAGAGCTATGCCAGTGTCTCACCAACCTCAAAGTAAAGAACACCTTCCTAACCCTAACCCCAGCCCCAACCCTAACCCAAATCTGCCCTCATTCAGTTTAACACCATTTACCCTTGTCCTAACACTGCACACCCTCATAAAAAGAAGAAACTGGAGGAAAATCAGGATTTTCAAAATCCTATTAGAGAAAAAAAAAAAAGAAGGGGAAGCAATAAATACGATGAGATGAGAAATTGCATGTGAGCTGTAGATTTTATCTTGAAAAACAGTACATTGCCTCACCTTCTGCAGCCCTTCCACTGGAGAAAGCTCTTACAGCTCCAGTGATATTAAAAGATTGCAATACCCATTTGGTAAGAGTGGCCCATGGGAAACCCACTTTCTCGTGGCTGTTACTACAATTCCCAGACATTGTTCTGCAAAATACACTCTGTTCCTGTAAGTAAATCCTGCAGCTCCTTTCCCAGCTGTACCAGTGCAGACAGATGCTGTTACAGGCACACTGCTCCCCTAAATCCTTACGTGCTTACACTGCTGAGCACGTCACCAAATGCCATTATATAACAAGACATCAAGTTTGGCAACCAAAGACTCCTGGAAATTCTATCTGCCAAAATTTCATGTTTTCTTCCAAGTCCCAGCTAAAAATATCGAACATTAGGCTGAGAAAAACTTAATGTGTTACTGCAATTAACAAGCCCGTTTTCTGACACCACCGAAAATAACTAATATTTACAGTATAATTATTAATATCTTATTATGACACTTTTTACTGCAGTGGTAACAGATTAAGTGGTTTGGGGCTAAAAATGAGGAGCCTACTGAGCTGACAGGGAAGCCATACAAATATGAGGTTAGTTTAGCATGAAGAAATATTTATTCAGCAAAAGGAGACTTAGGATGAAGCTCTGCTAGCTGGTAAAAGCCTATTTATGTAATTTAGGTTTTTTGTGTTCCATCTCTGTACCTGCTCTTTTTCTCTCCCTAGAACCAAGCCAAGTGGTTACTTTAACACTCAGGTGCATTTTTATATTCTTGGCATTTCCCTACAGTGCTATTTAAAATTACAAGCCCTCCTCTAAAGGACTTTTGGGACAGCTTTTATTTAAAACTACTGGTACAAGTTATCCACTTTGATGGGTAGGGATTGAAACATATTTAACGTTCTTCTGTGTTAAAACACATTTGTTTATAATAAAAGAAACTCATAAGAGAAGAAAACATGGAGCATTAGTGTTAAATGCAAAGCAAATGTCTAGAACCATGAGGAGGCCACATGGCCTCTGCTATCTTTAATGTCTACCTTGGGAAGATACTACAGTGTGAAAAGATGAGGCTGCTCACGTCTAAAGTACAAATATATATATTTAATCAATTTAAAAACTTCTTTCCTACGAAAAATCAGGGGTGTTCGTTACATTTAACAGCTTTTACCTATAAATAGGTAATCTCTGCCCTGCAGCGGAACAGAAGTGACCCTGCTAAATCTGGTTTGGCAGCAAAGCCGCTCTCCTGAGCGCTCTGGGAGACGATCTGGTCTCTCTGTCTCGTGGACGGGTGTCTCCATTCTGTGCACACAACAGACCCAACGTGCTACCTGGCACCAGCACTGGCAAGACCAGCCAGCAACCAACGGAGCTTGGCAACGGAACTGCTCTGTCCCAGAAAAGCTTCAGCATTCAGAAACAAAGCACAGAGTTTGGGGAACGCAGGGAAACCTCAATGCCCTAATTAGTGCTGTAATTTGGTCTATTTGTCAAGTAGAAGCAGGATTTTAACCTTCTGGCATGTCTGTTTAGAGCCCTTTGTAGAGGCAGCTTAAAACAAACATACAGAAGTTGGTAAGTACCCAATCCTGCAGTCTTTTCCAAGAGGAATGGCACGGGATTGGATTTGGTGGACAAGAAAGCTGCTGCATGACTAGAATGAAATTCAGAAAACAAACAGAAGCACTATCCTGGGCCTCCAGCACTGTTTATACATTTTGACCTTCCACAGGCTGCCAACAGCACTACTGAACACGAGGATCGCGGGTCACTGGTACCACCAACCACCTCACTGGGAGCCCGCAAGAAAAGCCTCGGTCAAAGCACACAAGATGTGGTTTTAAAGCAAGTGAGGAGGGGGAGGAGGAGAAATTTCCTGGATTAAGTGAACCACAGAGATATTTTAATCAGAACACAAAGGCAAGCTGAGCCAAACACCAACTGACTCGGATCATATCACATCAATAATCCATGCACAGAGCCTCTGCTGGAATCAATGGCAGGCTTGTGCGTAAGTGGATTGTATAATATAAATACACGGCCCTGTTGAGGGCTCCACACACAAAAGAGAAAGAGGTACTGAGAACAATTCCCTTAATTAACACTTCTGTTCCATCAAGAGCTTCTAAAATAATAAATTCTAATGTTACACAGCTCTGTTTTCACTCACAGTTTTTATCAGAGGTGGCAAAACAACTGACCCCATTTGACAAACAAGGGAACTGAAGCATCGGATGCAAATGAAACTGAAGAGCAGGGCAACAGGCAGAGCTGAACTGGGAATAGCAGCTTACCTTCTGAATCACAGTTTAATGTCCTAGATATTTACATGCTTATCTAGTTCAAGTCTCTAATTAGGGTGACTCTGTGCAGTCCTCAAATAATTTTATATACTTCTTAAATACCTGTGCACAGCAAAACTCTTATCTCTAAGTATTTCCCACTCAATAATGTTAATTTTGTGAGGATTTAGAATGTTCTGCAGGGGTTCAAAACACTGGATTGCCTTGGTCAGACTACCAAGGGAGTCTCATTGCTCAGGTATCACAAGCCTCACTACCCAGCAACAATAAAGGGTTTTAAAACTGGCCGTCAAATCCACACTTTCACAATCTTTCTATTATTAAAGAAAGAAAGTAAAAGGGAAAAAAAACCCAAACAAAACAACTTGCAATTCCAAATACTAATGCATTAGCTGGAAATGACCTAACTAATCCTGATGTTCCAAACTGACAGTGATCCATAAGAAAAAGCGAGACTGGATCTCTATTCAAAAAAAAGTGCAATACTCACAAGAAGTCAGTGTAAAACATCAAATACACCAATTGCAAAAAAATTGTCCAGTCTTACTAGGCTGCAACTGTTTTACAACGAAGCCAAGTAAGTAGGAACATAAACTATACTGTAATTTGACCCAAAAAAGCAACATGTTTATTAAAGTGGTATGAAGTTATAAATAATAGTTTCACTTGCATGCTAGGAACAAATCTGACTTTACCTCTAGAACCAGCCTTTGGCTAAATACAGACTGACTCCTCCTGAGGTCCTGAGTATTTTTCCTCCTCTGAAAATCCAACTCTGAAATGCTTTACGCCTTATGAAAGATTGATTCAGCAATGTGTCCACTTTCTAGTTTACATCTTGCACGTGATTAAGTACTATATCACATAGGATTAGTGCCAGTAACAAACATTTTCATTTTCCTTAACTACAAATGCAAGTCCATAATCCTGTGAAAATAACATATTTTGAGTTAAACGAGCTTTCTGTTCTTTACAATTACAGCGTTCAACTGCTTTGAACAATAACTTTTCAGGACTGGCTTGTTTTGTCTTCTGTTTTCCTTTTTCAGACTTTTTTTTCAAGATTTAAGTCTACCACTGACTAAACAAGTGCCTGCTGAGAAATGGCCACACTTCCAAACGACGGCTTGAAGAATTATTTTTCTGATTCATCACAGCATTATTTTTTCAAGTTGTCAAAACAAACACCACACCCACTTAATTTCCGAGTTCTGGTTAATTGTACTTGGAATCAGCAAGTACCGTGCAACTAATAATCATACGAGGTTTAGCCCCTACTTTAGCTATGTAGAGATCAGCCAGTGCGTTCAAAGGCAGCCTGTTTAGCATTTTATTTAAGAGATACCCTCATCACCTCATGCTGTACCACCACTGCACAGCCAGCCACAGACACACTGAATATAGGGCAGGCCATGAAGTCGATCCCTCTGCCCCAGGGCAGGATCAGCTCCTGCTCAGCCACCATTATCGCTGATGATACACAAGAACTGGTTATTTCAGGCAGCAGCTTTACACACGCACTCACAGAACCCATTATAAATTAAAGGAGGGAAGCGTGTGGCACGTCTGCAGCGCCTTAAACTGGGACAGCGCGCAAGCCGGTCTCCAATAAGATAAAAATTACAAATAAAAGCTTCCCCAACATGCGAGTCCGGATTTTCTAAAAGTAGTATCTTGGCAAGGTTAACGCCGCCGCCGCTGGAAACAGTTCACCTCTTTTAAACTGGCTGAACCACCCCGTGATGATCACCGAGCCTCCATTAAGATGACACACACAAACAGAACCCTCGCAAGGCTTAATTACTCTTTTCGCTGCTCGTACACTGCCAGACACGTACTTTTTTTTTTATTATTTTTGTATTTCCCCCCTTTCCCTCTCCCAGCGGACGAGCAGCTGCAGGCAAAGGGCGCGGGGCTGTCAGGGCACTGCCGGGGGCGGCGGGGCAGAGCAGGGCAGGGCAGGGCAGGGCAGCGGGTCCCGGACCCGCCGCGCCCCCGCCGGGTGAGGGGCACAGAGCCCCCATTGTGGCCCGGCCGAGGTAGCGGCTCCGCTCGGGGGGCGCCGGGCACGACGGGGCAGCCCCGGCGGGAGGGGCCGCGGCCGCAGCCGCTGTCAGGGGCTCCGAGAGCGGGGCACCTTCCCGTGCCGCCCGGCCAGGGGCCGCGAACCCCCCGCAAGAGCCCCGCACTCACCGCCGCCGCCTCCGCCGCCCTCTTCGTCCATGTTGGGACCGCGGGCAGGGCGCTCCGCCGCCGATCAGCGAGGCCCGGGGCTCGTTCCGCTCGCTCGGCGCCTCGCGGCCACTCCCGCTCCTCTTCCTCCTCCTCCTTCTCTTCCTCTTTCTCCTTCGCTTGCTTTCCCTCCTCCTCCTCCGCCTCGCTCCGCCGCCGCGCTGCTCTGCCCCGTCCCTCCCCGCCCAGCCCTGCCTCAGTCCCGGCGGCCGCCACCGCCTCGGCCCAGCCGCCCGCCCCTCTCATGTGACGGCGGAGGGCGGAGGGGGAGCCGGCCCGGCCCAGCCCCGCTGTCGCCTCCCCCGCGCCACCGCCGGGTCGCGGTCACCGCCGGGCTGTGTTACCCCCCCACCCAGCGCCCCGGCCGAGTCTCTTGCCCGCCTGCCCTGAGCGGTGTTCCCTCCCCGGCGAGCCCCGCAGCGCGGCCTGGCAGCGCCCAGGCCCCTGAAGCGGCTTCCCCGCGGGCTGCCAGGGGTCGCCCGGGCGGTCGGGAGCGGGGGGCACTCGGGTCTGTGGGGGGCTCCCGTTGGGGTCGTGTTTTGGGGTCTGCGCGAGCCAGGAAATGGCTGCAGACACTCCCCTGGCTCTTTTTGGGGGAGAGCGGGAGGTGAGAGGAAGGTGAGGGCTGAGCTGGCCTGAAGCAGAGTAGTGAGGGGAAACAAGGTGCGTTGAAGTTTCTGAGAAAGAGCCTCAGACATCACATGTTTCTGGGCTTTTTTTTTGCTGATTGTTGCTTGTTCCCTGTTCTTGTGGCCGGTGCTGGAAGGGCCTTGGGTGCTTCCCCTGCCACAGGGGCCAGGGAGAGCTTTGCATGTCAATCGGACTGTGCCCCTTGTGCGGTGCAGGGGTTTGCCTTGGTGAGTATTGTGGATAACAGAAAGGACTCTCCTTACTGCCCTAGGAGCCGAAGTGCCTGTGGGATTTTTAAAGTCTTCAGTAAAGATCTTCAGTGAGTTACCTACCATGGGAGTCAGGATATCAGCAGCCTCCAAAGTCTGTAAAGGTAAGCAGAAGTGTACTGGCACAGACCACTCTTCCTTCCTTCCTTCCTTCCTTGGCACCGCCTCTTATTATTATTATTTTTTTTTAAACCGTTCGTGTCAAAATTTTATTCAGAAAGGAAGCTGTGGGAGGAAAGGGTCAGCCAACAGGAAAATATCGGGTTTTTCATTTTCCTTTTGGAGGCTGGCATGGGACAAGAGCACCGTGGAGGAAGCCGTGTGAGGAGCGCTCACCTCTTGACACCGCTGCTAATAGGTGGTTATTACAGCCCATTGTGCTGAGAGCTGAGGTCTGGCTCTGCCAGCTGCTCCAGTGATAAAGTGTTTTTTACCTCACCTAAAAGTCGTAAGCATCACAAACCTTGAAAATACCCCTCTGACTTTGAAATTTTAAATTAAATATTGTTATAAGTTTAGTAAGTTCTAAAGAGGATATGATTACATAAAACCAGCATCACCTTGGAAGAGATTTACTTTGAAATGTGTGTCTATAAAGTGCAACTACAGGATTACGTAAATTAAGTCTGAATGCAGCTGAACTGATAGTTGGCTTTGAATATTTTTGTACACTGAGCAAATTGTTAATTTACATTAGTGGGGAATCTGGTTCATGAGAAAAATTCTAATTTTATAAGTGATACCAGATTGCTTGCATTTAATTTGTGTTGGTTTACACCTTTATACAGAATATATTCCTTTATTTTCTTGTTTCTGTTTGTCAGTGTCATTTTTTTCCTTCCTTCCTTCCTTCCTTTTTCCCTTCCTTTCTCCCTTCCTCCCTCCTTATGCTTTTACTACAAGGAAAATTCTAGTGCAAAATAAAAAATAAGCTCATCACCAATTCTAGTAGCAGAGGAGAGGGAGGTGTGGAGAACAGTCATCCTCCCACCCATTCAGTGCAAAATTCCTGTTGACTTCATGGAAGCCACACAAGTATTAAAATTCTCCAAATTCGTAGCAAAGATTGAGATTATTTTGTGATGCAAGCAAGGTAAGAGAAACATCTGTCCTGGTTATGAGTGATCAGTTGTGATGTTTTATAGAGACTTCATGGGGAAACCCAATTCCAGATTGTGTCTGCCCATTCCAAACCCATGAGATAAGGAACATGGTATTATTATAACTTCATTATTAACTAGAAAAGCAGTTAAATGTTCAGTATTTTGCCTTACTGAATACGTACTTACTCTGAAATCTATGTCATTAAATAACCTCTCAAGGAGAATCTGTTCTTTCCAGCCCCGTTTCAGTACAATGACTTATTAATGATACACAGTACAAAAGAGTGTTGAAATTAAAGTGTTCTCTTCAAGGCTGAGTGTCTCTGGAATGATGGCAGATGTTCCTTAAAACATTTTCATTCATACTGTGTATCTTATAAATAGACTTACTTTTGCCTGGGCCTGATCCTACAAGTGTTCCAAGCATAAAACTGTTAGTTCTGTGCACAAGGTGCTCCCTGGACAAAGCTGTTCAGTCTTCAGGTGACACGTCATAGAAACTTTTCAGATCAAACCTCTTACCTTGTTGTCTCATTTTCCTGTCTACAGAGGAAAACTCATGTCTGGCTATGAACCTAACTAGGTCAGGAACAGATTTTATGAAACTGTGCAAAATCAAGTAATTACAGCCCTGGTTCTACATCGTAGCTGTAGCAGTTCTACCATAGCAGAACTCCTCCCCATATTTTTGGTAATTCAACAGTAACAACACCACTATCCTTAAATAAGAGGTAGTTTCTTACCAGCAAAGATGCCAGGAAGCAATGCAGGTTACAATCTCAGCAAATTTTAAGACAAACTCCAATAAACTATTTCCTCCTCATGAAAGTAATGCTCTCGCATCTGCTTTGTTTTCTGGAACTTTGATCATTCTTCTGTTTTGGAATACATATGAATTTTAATTTTTTTCCCCATATTAATAAGAGTTTCAATCAACAGTTTTCTAAAGATTGATCTTTTTTTTTTTTCCTTTTTTGCAATCCCTTCTGTAGTCATAGCTCTATTTTTACCACCAGTGTGTTTTGCCAGTTTTATATCCACAAGTCTAACCTTCTGTGTTGGAAGAACTTCATAGTCTGTCATTCATGTAAATAATAGTCTAATAGCTGGTCTGTTGAAATTATTTTTAGGGGGAAATTGGGCTTTCTCCAAAAACTGCTGTTGGCAGGGTTGATTCCTTAATGATGAATGTGGTTACTTGCTGAATTTGCAGGTAATACACTTTGTCTCTTTATATTTTTTTGTCCCTCTCTGGCTAGTTTAGTAACTGTTTTGGTTTAGTTTCCACTAAGTGGTAATTTATCTTGTCATTTTTCATTTTGAGGGTTCAGGAGCACATCTGTCCCTATAAAGAGAGTCAGTGAAGACAAGTGAATCCTTACATCACATTTTTGTGGTCTATAAGGCTCATTAAATATTAAGCTATTTCTATGTATTTCAATTTGAACCAGATTCCAAGAGTAGTGAATGAAAATATAAATCTTTATCCTTCCTTTTTTTTCTTTTTTTCTCCCCCGTAATCAGTTCAAGAATAGGAAAGCCCTGCTGCTTATTACATCCTCTCCTCAGCAACAGTGGATACCCTTTTTTCTGCCTTGCTTTTTATTGGTTAAGGTAAATTCAGAAAAAAAATCTTCATTCCTCACCTTCAGTTTACTTGTGGGAAGAAATAAGCTCAGTGTTACCTTGGCAAGTTTCCTCTTTCAGTAATGGAAATGTTTTTAGAAAACTGGTGCAAGCATTACATTCCTGAGACAATACCTTGGTGATAGAATCACTGTCACCAATACCCAGCCATTGTATTAAAGAAAACTTTGTTTCAAATCTAGACAACCAAAGGGGTTTTAGTTTTTAAGAAGCATTGCCTAATGGTTTCCATGCAGGAAAGTCTCAGCCCATCATCATGTCTTTTTTTTCCCCCCCTATTTTTCTATTTTTTATTTATCAGTACTTGAATAATCTGGTATTCTTAAACCCCTAAGGCAAGCTCTTTGACTTCCTCTGTCTGGCAGACGGGTTTTAGCCATGGATTGTTTCTTAAAATGTTTATGCTGTCACACATCTCATATTTGTCTCAGCTGGAAAAACATTTTTGTAGAAAATCCCGTTTGCTGGCTGTCTCAAGGGTTTCAAAAGTGCTTGTACCTTTCATTTAGTCCCAAAAAAATTTACATGCAGGTATTTTATATGGCTTTGGGGGACATCAAAGCTGAAGCTTAGCAAGTCAAGCCTCTTTTATGAATGGTGCTTTCTTGTATGAATAGGAAGCTTGTTCCATTAGAATAGTCCAGAACCCTAAACATTAAGACACCTCACTTCCAAGAATTTTGCGTGGGTTTCTCTCCAGATGGGCTTTTTATTCTGAATTTTATTTGCAGCTTATTTAAAATTCCTGTTCTTGACACATTTGAGGGTTTGTGGTTTTTTGGTGGTTATGTTTTTTTAAGATTTCTAAATGAGCTTTATCTACTACCAGCATCAAATATTACTGGTTTTGGAAGTCAGTGCTTGTTTCTATTGTGTAACACTGATAGGGCCACTAGTGAGTCATTGAGGAAAAACCACCAAAATGTCCCAGTGAGGAAAATGTATTAAAAATTGTGAAGGTCCACCAACTCTGTAGTGCTTATGATCTGAAATGTACTTTGCATTAGAACTTGTTCTACCTGTATTAATTATCCACAGTACTAGACACAAACAGGATGCTTTCTAGCATGAAAGCTGGGCCTAAAATAACAGAAAAAGAGGACTAGGATTCAAAGGGCATGGGCTGAAACAGATCATGAGTGGAATTTTGCATGAAGCTTGAGAGCGTTTTTCTATCTCAGGAAAATGAAAGAACTTGATGTAAAGCAACTCTCAAAGGAGAGTGTACTGATTAAGGCCAGACTGTTCCCACCCTGAGAAGTAGCCACAGTCTGAATTCCCCTCTGCTGGCGAACTCCATCTTGGACTCTCCGGTCTGACCAAGGCCTGGGAATTGGAAATTCCTAACTCATCGTACAGTGGGAGCTGCAGCTGGGCTGCAAACCATCCAGGAGCTGCGTGCACGTGGCAGCAGTCGATGGATGGGGGTGCCCCCCAATCCCTTCCTCCTCCCTGCCTGGAGAAGCCCTAAATAACTCCCAGTGTTCCAGGGCTGGCACCCCCTGGCACACATGTTAATGTCTGAATATGTGCTGAAATGCTTGTTAATGTCTCAAGATCATCTGAAGGTAATAAATTGATCAAGATCAAATATGGGCATGTCATTGCATTCCTGTCAGGATTAGCCAGCTATGAGTCACAGTCTTTAGACCAAGCTTTATCCTGGCTTTATACTGGCAGCAGGAAGACCAACTAACATAAAACCATCATAAGGAAAATCACTCTCCCTGTTTCATGAGGGTTTTGGTTTTTAAATAATGTTTTACTGGTGGGTTGAACTTGTACATAGGATTTCATGCCATGTCACCATCCAAAAACTAACTTTATTGCATCATGAAATTGCAGTTGAGAGTATCCAGCTTCTCTCATTGGTTAGTTTTGAATAAGTCTAGGGGAAAGGGGAGATCATTCTTTGTTAAGAAGTGGTGTGTGATATTTTACATTCTTACCTCCTCTAACCAAGAAAGATCCCTATTTATCCCAACTGCTGCAGTTAGAAAATAAACACATGGGTCTTAGGCAGAAAAACATCACTTAAATCCTCTTCCTCTCGTGGTTACACATGCACTGTTTTATCCCTTTCATATCCTCATGGATGTAGGAGTAATCCCATACACTTTTATACTAAAACAAAAAGGTTTTGGCAGTTTTTTACTGCAGTCGAAGTGCACTTTCAATTTAAAAAGCAGACCTTCACCTTAATTGTCTTCCCCTTGCTGTATTTCTCTTTATAGTCTTAAAAACTGTCTCTAGGTACAAGAAGATGTTAAGCGAGGGAGAGTCGAAGTTAAAACTTGGCAAGCGCTAAAACAAAGAATTTTTCCAAGGAAATGGAGGAGACAGGACAAATTAATTCCTTATGTAACTCCATTTACCTCAGTGCAGTTACATGAAGTATGAATTTGGTACCTTACACCTCTGTGGTCAGAAAAAAATTTCTGTGATCTTGACCAGCACAGCGTAAAATAATAATTTTTAAGGAAGAAAATTGCAATTTAAGTCTGGTAGAAGTGCCTTTGTTATTTTTAGCCTATTAATGCAATTGTAAAAGAACAATAGATCTGCAGAACAACAACAAAAAGGGCTTCATAACAAGCTTAGTACACGATGATTTGTAGCTTAACATCCTTAGTAACGTTTTTTTGTGGGCAAAGGGAATTCCTGACTGACTGCTCGGATGGGCAGGGACATCAGGGACAGAAAGGTCCAAAAGCTTCTCTCAGTTTGCTGCCTTGCAGCTTGAACTTTTCGTCTCCAGTCTCGTTCTTCTCCCCTGCCCACCCCCAATTCAGTTCTCCTCTCCCTCAAGATCCTCCCGGTTCCACAGGGTGTGCAGGGGTCTCTGTGGCTTCTCTGTACTGCTGAATTTTCTAGATTTTTCTCCTCAGGCAGAAATTTTCAACCTCTTGGGACAGATAAAGGAGAGACGTTTGGCCTCCCCCATCATTTCATTTTATTTTTTGAGCTTGAATATGTTTAAATTTGAGATGCTTTAAAATCAGCCATGTTCCCTGGGAGAGCCCAGCCTTCATGTGTCAGTCTTTAGGACTCAAGTAGAGTTGTAGCCAGAGACTATTTCCATTTTAAAACCTTGTTAGGAAACATCAACCCCTGCCTCTCCACCCCACTGCCAAATTCAGGAAATGCTTTCAATATCAATGTTAAGATCTTTCAATACTGTAACATAAAAGTGTTCATATAATGTATTAGTGCAATGAAATTTAAGTCAATGGTCTGTCTCTTTTATCCTTCCCAACTTGCAACTATCAGTTTTAATACAGAGGAAAGTGTCTGTGTATACAAGCATATAAAAGACGTGAAAATACAAAAGCATTTATTGAAAACAGACAAAACCAGGAAGATGATAAAATAGCAGAAGGAAGTGGCCTCACATATAAAAACTTTTGCTTTGTATAGCAGAATTTATCAGTAAAAGCTCAGATTGGCAAATTGCCATGCTTCAGACTAAACAAGGAATGCAGAGTAAAAAAAATTTGACTTGGTGTACAAAAGCAAGAGACACATTTGAAAAATAATGTCTTACAAAGTAATTCAATTAAATAGTTTTTGTTTCTTTGTGTATCTTTAAAAGTTTCATTCCATTTTGAAACAGCAGAAATCTCAGTTGCACAGATGCAAGCTCTCCTCTAAGGATGTCTGCATCAATCAGGTGGATGTAGGAAATTCCCAAATATCCCAAATTAAATAAAGATAGTGGAGCTATATTATATATAACAGTGGAATTATTAAACTATGATTTATAAAAAAATTCACATATTTAAAATATCTACTTCACAAAGCTGCTCAAGTAAATGTGGACTGCTCAGTATTTTCATATTGGATAAAGAATATGGGGTTTTTTTAAACAGAGTATCCATTTCTTTTTATGTTTGTGAGGAAAAATCGAAAGCATTAGGAAATAACAGTACATTTATACCTGAAATGAAAGTGTTTGAAATGTGCTGTTGATTGAGAACACTTTGGAAGCAGGAGAGTGGGATCCTCAGTGCAGCTCCTGCACCTGCAGGGTGTTCTCTGCCCAGCCTTGTTCTGGTGTTCCTGCTGGAAGGGCTGTTCAGGAGCACTGAGCTCTGCTGCTGCTCTGCTGCTGCTCAGGGGAACACGGAGAATGAGCACAGCTCCATTCTCATGACTAACAAAATCATGCCCTTCCTCTTTACTCTGGAAGGCTTTTCCAGGGCTCAGCGTGGAGGGAAAGACTCCAAACGTGAAAAACGAGATGGCAGATAACTGCA